CCCCCCCCCCCCCCCCCCCCCCCCATGCCTTTTTTTTTTTTTTTTTTGCTGATATTGCAGTTGTCTACTATCTGCTAGATGACTGGTATCCTGCCTATATACCTCGTTGTATTGGCTAGATTTACTGTGCAGTAATAACATTTTGTGTCCTCTTTTATTCTGAAGTAAATTAAACATAATTTTGCATAAAAGTTTGACTTAAATGTGATCAAAACCAAAAGCAAAGGTTCCTAACGTGGATTCACTTCATTATTTGCGTATGATTATTGTTTATTATTGATTATTATTATGATTATTGTGCGTCGACTTGCATCAAATGTGCAGAATATATATTTGCAACAATAGTCCCAAAATAGTCCACGACTTTCTTTGGTCTCTTGAAATGCAGCCGCAATGTCATATCAACTCCCACTTTATTAAAGTGGATGTCTGCAGCTGTGCACATAAAGGCATATGTGTGTCTGGGCGTGCATGCTTGGTGGGATTATGAATTTCATGGCGGTTTATATATGATATCCCCATGTCTAATGGGCTATGCCTCTGAGCCTGGCTCTACAGCATCACTCTGCCCTCACTCTCTGATCAGACCAGTACAGAGACTGGCCCTAGAATGATTTGTGTCTGAAAATGAACTACGAGTGTCCATCTTTTAACACCACAAAATCATATAATTGGGGTTAATAATAGTTGGTGTTTTCACAAGGTCTCCTTAACACTGACATTCTAATTAATCTAGGCACAGGAAGTAACACCACTGCAGAGCACACTTCCTGTAATGCAGTGTCTATTTTGTGAAGACATTGTTGGTGTTTCTTTGAAATCAGCTGACCTACTCTCAGTTTTATAAAAACATCTCTGTTCAGCAGAGTGAGGATACATCACATAACCACTTTGTGAGACTATAGATGAAACAAAAATGTTAATATAGCAGTGTTTGTATAGCTAGTTCTAATGATTTATTGCAGTTTTACTTGATTAACGTTTGTATAGCTAGTTCTGATGATTTATTGCAGTTTTACTTGATTAATTACACAGTTAATTGTGGCTTCCTTCATTTGACTGCCATATCGCATTGATTAATGAAGAATGAGAACACCACACGCCTGTTTGGCACGCTGGGCCGGCATGGTGTGTGTGAAGACCACTTGAGCCATGTGTCTCTGGCGGCTTGACACACACAATGGCGGATGTGTCTAGCTGCGAGCGTCTCACTGGTGGAGCAATAGTTGGGCTTTGTTGTCTTCGTCAAGGCTCATTTCTGTCTGCCTGCCCGATTGGCTGCCCTGTGACCCCTGGCTGGTTTCAGGCTGGCCTTGCATAGTTAGCTAGATAGGTGGCGAGCCCTCAGCATTATCTCTGTAATCAGGAAAGGAAGGAAGAGAAGCTTTTGGACTATGTAGAGGGTTTCCCTTGAGAGAGAGAGTGTGCGTGTGTGTGGGGGGCTCATTCCATTCCAGGTTACCAATTTTCTGGGGAGTAATGCCCCATCATCATTGGGTCTCTGTAGTCCTGTCTAAACACAGTAAGTCAAGACCAATACAATAAAGAAACTTGAATTAGCTTAGTTAGCAAAAACACTGGGCTTAAATATGTAATTAAATTGTCACTTAGACTGAACACATAGTGGATGAAGTGCCTTTCTGATTCTCCAATCTCTAACGCGTCTTATTTTCTCTTGCAGCTCTGCAGTGTATGGATGATAAGGCACCGTGTGTGAACAATGCTACGTGTCTGGCCTTTGCTAATGGCACTGAATACTGCAGGTAAGATTGACTGTTTGGCTTTGTGACCACAGCTTTTCAGTTAAACTCATGATGTCATCCCAGCACTGTAACAGAAATATAAACACAGCTATAGAAATACTTCATGAGGTGATGGTTTTTATGTGAAAGCCAGTGCAGGTTTTTAGATCAACCCCAGCCTGTCTGCGGGACCATGAGGTTTTGCTCAAGCACGAAGGGGCAAATAAAAGACTGCTCTGTCTGACAAAGTACACCAGTACTGGGAACAATACCAACACACACATTTCCACCTCCAAGATCTTACTTAGGACATTTCGGGGGGTTTGTTACTTTCAGTCTCGTGGCTATAGATTTGATAGCTCGGTATTTTACTGCTTACTGATTTGTTACTGACATTTTTATTGCATGAGAAAATATCCTATTTGGTATAACTGATGAAACTAAAATTATAAGAAGGCTGTGAATTTGTTACCACCCATGTTAGTGTTGCCTTTTTTGCCTGGCACATGCCACATTGTTCTTCAAACTTGAGGTAACTTGCAAGTTAATCTCATTTACTGCCGGTGGTGCAGTCATACCATTAGGTCTGATCATGGTACGTACGTCAGTGAAAAGGAGAACAGTGACATCTGTAATCTATGCCTTCCACCTTCCGATGGCTTGAAATTAAGACTGAGCTCTCTTTATAATTGTGTTGCCACTCCCGAGCCAAATTCCCAACGAAAACACACATGTAGCTGCTTCAAGAACTTGATCATATTTCTTCAAATGTGATGTGAATCACATTGTATGTTTGTTCCCAGAGCTTCAGAATTTCAACACACTGGTACTTGTGTTAAAAGGAAATGAGAAGGCAACATTCCTTAATCAGTGTTTGACATTTCCTGTCTAATTGAAGGTCAAATAGACACTGCTGCAGGTGCAAAGAGGCTCACTGTGTCTGTGTAGTGATCTTCATGAACACAAAAGCGAACAGTATTCTTTTAATCAGAGTCAATTATTGAATTACTACAGACTGAGACTTTTAACTGTTAATATACACCATCCTACATGTGTGTGTTTGAGGACAGACATTAAATTTTGGAAATGTTTTCAGGTGGAGGAAACACAGTTGGATTCTCATGATTTTCACACAACAGCCCTGGGTCAAAACTCACCCAAAAGCAGAGCTCCATTCATGATATGTGCAGATGGGCACACGGTACCAGTAGAACAGTGCTTTATGCCAGACACTACTGTTCAGAAGCTTGGGGTCACCTCCATTTTATCTACTTTTTATTGTAACATTTAAGCATCTTCAGACTGTATAGAAGAAAAGAGCAAGATGCTCAGCTTCAAATGAGAGTCCCAGGAAGGGTAAAACCAAAGCAACCTACAAGTGCAACATGTTTTATGGGAACATCTGTACCAGTGCTTTCTGTCCAAACAATATTTGATATCAGTTGCAGAGAGACTTCCAAAAGTGGGGTCAGCTGTTGAACTACACCAATAACTGAGCAAATAGAGGTGATCCCAAACTCTTGAGCTGTATTATATGTCTCAGTAACATTCAGATCATTTGCAGCACTTTACAGCTTGACCATATCCTCTTAGCTTTTCTTTTTCTGCCTTTGGTTTTATTACTTTTACTAATATTTAATTCCTCTTGTAAATCCTATTATTACATGTAATACTTTGAGGGGAACTAGTGATTATTAATGCCTGAGGAATGTGGGACTTTTAGATTTCTCTTCTATTTGCTCAGCTTCACTGTCTCCATTCTTGACTATTAAGTCAGTTGGTGCCCGAAATAAGTGATGACTTTGATGATAAAAGAAAACACCCACAGAAGACACACACAGTAGAGTTTCCTAGTTTAGAAGTCAACTGACAGAGCGCAGGCCGACTGCTAGACTGATTACATACTTAGTTCATTTTTTTTCTGCTGTCCTCAAGCAAACATGAACTATAAATGCACATACTCATATGCACACTTGGCTCTGTTCCTGTCTGCACTGTTCTGCTGGTCAGAAGGCTCACTGTACAATCTAATTATGTCTTTATTATTCTCTAGAACGAGCTTCTGTGCATGTTGTCATTCTTCAACTTGCCTTTAGTGCCTCATCTGCTGAGTTCCCATACACCCTTAAAACTGGAAAACACACAACTAGTCTAGTCATTTGTATGTGTATCATTTAAGTCCTTTTTAGAGACTTCTTAAAGTTAGACTTTGCTAGGTTTTTGTTTAACAGTGGGAGAGAACAGGAGATGTGAGGAGTGAAAGGCAAACATTGAAGTACATTCCAAAGTACTGAGGTTTACGCTTGCACGCATACAGTAGCGTAGACTAAGACTGTGATATTTCCGGAAAAAACATGTTTCAAGATGTCCTGAATATTTTTTTTCCACAACAAGCTCAGGTGTCTCATTTTGGGGATCAAGAATGTTTTGTGAGAGGTAAAGTGCCTGGGAGAGGTCGACTGGCTGCCTCGCAGGGCAGGGTGCGGAGAAGCCATCTAACCGGTGACACTGCAAGCCATCATGTGTGAGTGTGAGAATAAGGTGTGTCTCTGCATGGATTTGTGCAAGTCACAGGTTTGCTTGGTAGGTCCATCACCGTTGAAGGGATACATAAACAGAATCTAATGAAGTATTGGCTAAGAGCACCGAAACATTGGTCTAGTTTGTGGGCAGCAGAGTAGGGCTGCATGATAAATTGTTTTGTGAGTGGGATTTGGATTCCTGTGCGATCTTACTCTCATGTGACAATAATTTTGCTGTGTTTGCATTAGCAATGAGATGCCTTGCATCAAACCATGCACTAACTTTTCCTCACTAAGCTGCATTAACAACTGCACAGTGATTTATTTCCGCCGAAACTGCTATTCAGCACTATGTGCACAGGGCAGGCAACACAACATTTAAAAAATAGTTGCAGGATGACACAGGATATCTTTCGCAATGTCACACATGTTGGATTTGTTTTTGAATCAGTCTTCCCTTCCTGTCTGTAGCCTGTCACATGATGTAACACATGCCTGCTACTGGTTAACACAGCTTAGCGAAGAAATGAGAGCACTTGGTTTGTTGCAAGGCATCTCCTTGTTAATGTGAACACGGCAGAATCATTGTCTCATGAGACCGAGATTGCACATCTAAATCAAGCTCACAAAACGATTTATCGCACAACCCTATCACAGAGGATTCATGATTCTGACATGGAGTCTGAGTTAATACCTGAGAGGCCTAAGCCAGAGTGAGGCTGCACTAGTTTTTGTTTGTTTGTTTGGTTTTGTTTTTTCAAACTTTATTTTCCTACATAACAAGATCTTGTCTGCTGCCAGGCTAGGGTGCAAAATGATGAACTCTCCCTCCCAGTGTGTTTTTCCTCTCTCTCCCTTCCCCTTGCAGTCATTGCCATGACTTTAGGGTTATTACAAAACTTTTGTTAAGAGTGAGGGGGAGAGAGTTACTGTGCTGTGTAGACCTGCTGCCTGTTTGATCTGACAGGTAGAATTTGCCTGCTGGGCAGACAGAGGAAGAGAAAGGGCCAAAAGAAAAGAGGATGTCTCTTTATAGGTAATTTGAGGAGGAATACCTCAGAGTGCAACTCCTTTCTAATGATGAGAGAGCAGGCTCGGGGGGTGGGGGTTGGGGGGCTTGTAATATCCCTCTTGTGGTACCTTCTTCATCAAACTGTCACTCATACATCCATGCCTCAGTTCCTCCCACTGCTTCAGGGATTTAGATGCCCCTGTACTCAACTCACCTGGCCCCTTAATCCTCCTCCCACAACCCCAGACTTTTGTCATTATTATCTTTACTTTTTCTTTACTTCTTTTCTCAACAGTTCACTCTTCACCGTCCACTCGATCTCATATTCGTGTGTTTTTGAAGAGCTATGATTCATGTCCACATCTCCTCTCAAAGTCTCAAGTCTTTAGAATAAAAAGTGGAGGTGACCAGAGTAGACACAGGGAGAAGGAAACAGACCAAGAAGAAAACTGGGAGAAAAGTGATTTAGACCAATCACTTCTCCCTTCTGCTTCACACCTCCACAGCTGACACAACACCCACTCTATCAGACACCCACAGTCACACAGTCTTTAACCGGGTTAAGCACATGATCCAAACTAAAGCCAACAAACCCTAGAGTAGAGATTGTAACCCACGCTGTGATTGCCTGCTCATACTCTCCAATTGCCTATCTCCTTCTCACAGTCCAGCTAACAGCACAGTGCATGTGGTTGAGACTGGAGCCACAATGATAAGAGTTTCTGTGTGTACATTTCTGTGTATGTACTATGTGTGTGTTTCTGGAGAGGCAGGGGCACCTTGAGGAAAAGTTCACATGCTTGCACAGAGAAGATGGAAGCTCAATTAAAATGTTAGGTTCAGTATTTGGATGGTGAAGAAGTAGCTGTGTGCCTCTTGAGTGTGTGTTTAAGGGCCCAAAAGATAAGTGAAGTAAACTGTTTATCAGTGCCAACCAGGGCAGTAGCTAAGTATTGTTTTAATTATGGATTAATGAATTATTTTATGCCCTGTGATGGATTGGGGACCTGTCCAGGGTGTACCCCGCCTTCGCCCGATTGCCAGCCGGGATTGGCTCCCCTAAAGCTAACTCAGTTGATTGATCGTGGCAAACATAGCCTGCTGTCACTGGGTTTGGATTTTCTTTTTTTTAATTTCATCTTGATAAAACAAGCAAGGCACTCAAACAGAGGGTGAAATACACAAATGGAATCATCCTCTGACGTCTTGGAGTCAAACCCTGCTCTCAGAAAGGCCTTTCAAAACAGTGGGGAATGTAACAACCAGATCATAAACCCACATGCAGTAAGCTGACAAGTGGCTCTCTGTCACACATTGATGATTTTCAAAGAATTAGCTAGTAATTCTACATTTAAGAAATATTTAAAATAGCACTTTTTTCTATTATGTGACTGATTATAGTTATTATCTTGGCTTGTGTCGAGAATAATTATATTGGTTGTTGGAATGTTTTGATTTAAATTTTATGATCCATCCATCCATTATCT